ATGCACATATATTGAAGCTCCAAGCCTGCAACATCTACTACTGGTGTTTTGTTTGTTTCTCAACAACCCTGAGATCCACCAGTAAAAAGCAGAAGCTAAGGGTGGAAACAGAAACTTGGAAGTAATGAGTTAACAAGAAGCTTATTACTTGTGTGTTATTTTAATTTGCATTTCTATAGGAATAAAACAGCTAGATTTAAGCCTAATATAATAAATGGTAATGATATTACTTTGGAGTAGGGTAAAGGTAATGAAAAGCATGGTTCAGTTACTATTGTTTTTTAGCAGTATTTTAAGGCAGATTTAGATGCATTTTGATTGGTTCCCTCCACAAACTTGTGTAATTCTCTCATCAGCCTGATAGTTTTCCCTCCCTGCCCACCAACAAAGTAGGCCCTGATCCTGCAGAGGCTAAACACCAGAAATGTTTGCCTTCCCTTCTTTGCCTTCTCACGGGATCTGGCTGCTGCAACTATATATTCCTTCAAGAAAATTTGATTTATGGTATTTCCACATATTTACAAGACAGGCACTTTGAACAGTAGGACTCAAGGGTGCTGATTATACAGGCAAACAGCAGTGATTAGACTGAAAATGTTGATTCTTTGTTGAAACCAGTGGCTTGGGTTAGCAGGCACCTTTATTATCTCAAGCTGCATCTGAGTATGTATTCAAGAAAAGCTGGGTAAAACTTGGCTCAGGGCTCTGACAGAATCCTGACCTTACAAATATTTTCCTTGTCAAGTAACAATATGACCTCCCTATCCATTCAAGGATCAGTAAATATTTAAATGCCAGTGCACCCAAGCTGAAGTGTTACTAATGGAAAAGGGCTGCACTAAATGAATACCATGATTTTGCCCCGTTTTTCTCTAAGCAATTCTATCATTATTGTAACATGTGGCTTTTCAGAAAACAATCTAATTCTTGAAGCATGTGTTGAAATTGCCTTTCCACTATGGACCTCAGATTTAGTATTGCATTCTTCTTGGGAGGTCAGAACAAGGAAAGATTCAAGCTTGAGAAAACAATTCTGTTCAGCAGCAACACCATATTCATCCTTTTAATCTTACACCTACATGTTCGTTAGAAACTCTGTGAAACACTAGAGCCAAAACCACCATCTCACTCTCACTCCTGCTCAGAAGAAGCCTTGACCTGTCAGCTTCTCTACTGAGCATTGAGAGCAGAGAGAATGATACCAGCTGTCAGCTAAAATTCTGTGCTGTTGAAAGTCACCAAATCCTGAAATAAAATGGGGATATTAAAATAGGAAACTACAAGAAACTCAGGAACCTACTAACTCTGTATAGGCAAATATTTTTGCACAACAGATATCTACAGAAAGAATGCCTATTAAGAGTGGTGTAAGAGTAGACCTTTGGTCTAGATGGGGGATATAAATCTAATAAATAAATAAAATAAGTAAGAGTCTTCAAACAGTTCAACTTTACTATTTTCCATTTTAATTTACTTCCCAATAATATAGACAAAATTCAACTTTTACTATAACTAAATAGAAGACTATTAAACAGAAGCATATACCATAGCTCAGATGCAAATACAGAACAGAAAATGAATGGCTATCAATGAAGACCATAAACCAAGAAGGGATAACTATGAAGCCTCCTTTCTTGTTGTTGGACTGCAAATCCCAGCAGTCCTGGCCAGCAAGGCAAGGGTGAGGGATCATGGGAGTTGCATTCCAGCAATACCTGGAGGATTACTGTTACTTTCCCTTGCCATAAGCCTTCAAAAACTCCAGGTTTACTGAGGCTTCATTGTTCCCTTTCAGTTCCAGCACTCTTCCTAATATTGAGCTAAAATTCACCAATACACAGGCCAAAAAAGCCCATGTGATCCAAGGAACTTACATTGCCAGTACAGGGAACACCCAATGTCTTTGTAACAAGTTGTGAAAACACACCCATTAGCTGTCCAAGATCATTTGAAAACATGTCCTCATAATGGCACACTCTTGTCATTCTAGGAAACAAAGTACTTGTCAGTGATAGGTGGAGTGATACTGCAGCTCCAGCTGGGGCATTTGGTGCAAGCGGTGCAGCTGACATATCACCAGCAATGGAAAGAAAACATCCATGGGACAAATTTATGTTCCAGTCACTAGCTTGCAACCTGCTTTCTTACCTAGATGGTTTTTGCACTGTAACAGAAGAGAGAGAATGTACTTGTGCACAAGACGGTGATAGGTGTGATCAAATGGCACTGACATATCTTTGAGCAGCAGATACACTCAACTCTCTAAGTCTGTCAGGGGCTGAGGTCCTTCTGTGGAAAATGCCATGTTATTAAAGAATCCTATCTACAGAGCTCTAACTTTCAATTTATTTGTTCATCAGTTTAAAACAGCGGTAGCATGAAGAGTGTCAAATTGACAGCCAGGGGTAAAATGTAAGTCAAGGGCAAACACGTAATGTTTATCATGTGGATGTGCTGTGACGTATTGTACAATCAACAGTAATTTATAGGTGAATGTTATTAAAAGAATCTTATTTATGTTTCACGACATGCCCAAGAATGGGCATTCGTGAGAATGGCTGATGGTCGGATTCCAAAAGATCTCCTGTATGGAGAATTAGTGCAGGGAAATCGCCTCAGATGGAGACCACAGTTGCGATACAAGGAGATCTGCACGCGGGATCTGAAGGCTTTAGGAATGGACCTCAACAGGTGGGAAACCCTGACATCTGAGCACTCAGCCTGGAGGCAGGCAGTGCATCATGGCCTTTCCCATTTTGAAGAGACACTTGTCCAGCAGGCTGAAGCAAAGAGGCAGTCCCAAAACCAGCAAAATCAGCAAGCTGGAACAGGGGACAGATTGGATTTGTCTTCAGTGTGGAAGGGACTGCCACTCTCAAATTGGACTTCTTAGCCACACTAGATGCTGTCCCAAGTCCTCCACACAGAGCACGTGACCACAGTCTCTCAAGACTGAAGGATGCTTATTCTAAATCTAAATTTATGTTTGGAGCAGGAGTATTCTCAAATAAAATTCACAGAGCACATTGCATAACCTAGAGACCAAGGATACCAAATGAAATAAAACGTTTAGTTTCGCTCACCTTGAGGCCACAATGTTTGGAAAGGTAAATATTTACATTACTGTCTCTTTGTGAAACACATGACTGTCACAACCATAGGTAAACGTTAAGGCACTAACGGAAGTTTTCTCATTGTGATAAGCATCTCCAATTGAAAGTCTCTTATCTGCTTCATGCTGCAGAGATTTCCCATTTATACAATGTTTGATTTAATGCCTATAAAAATCAATACACACAAAATAAAAGATAAATGCATCAATCACTCAGTGCTCCAAAAAGGGACACCACCCTGGTCCTGTAGAATGAGGGATACACCAACATCTACTATAAGAATGCCTTTCCTTGCAACCTGCTAAGCAGGCCCTGCCCTCTCATCAATCCCATTACTCACAAAAAGGGTTCACTAGCAAGACCTCATTCATGAATGCACTAAGGTAACTGTTAAAAGACAAAGGATGTTATTGTTGCTAATGCCCTTGTAATGTCATGCTTGAGACTTAGGCTTGTCAAGCAAAGGGAAATACCCTTTCCATCCAGACACCTCCAATTTTGCCGCTGCTGCTTTTTATTTTAACTGAGAGATATCTAGCTCAGCAGATGCATCTCAGTCTTAGTCAGTGAGTCAGGTGTTCACATGACAAACTCTGAATACTGTCAGCAGGGTAAAAAACAAATAAGCACATATTAGTTTTCTCTTCCAGATGAAATCAGAAACTTGAAAAAATACCATTTTCTTTTGGTCTCAGAAATAAAAACCTAGGCCTCCACAAAAGTCCTTAAGATAAAATATTATTTAGCTTTGAATTAAAGAATGCTAGTGCTTTCAAACTGAAAATGAAGGACAGAAGTCTCAGATGCGGTAGACATACTAAAAATGGTTTGGTGCCTCCACCACTGTTACAGAAGGTACAATTACTGCCTAGCCTGAAGCGTGCACAAGCTCACAATAATCAGTGGTGAGTGAACTTTCTGAGATGCGAATAGGGTTTCACTTTCTTCAGAACCCTAGTCTTCCCTTCCCCGTCATCTGTAAAAAACCCAGTAAAACTCTATCTCATTAACAAGCAATCCAGTTTTCCTCTTACTGAAAGGCTATCTATCATACAGACTCTGAGAGGCTCCTTTTAATAAAGGGTTACACTCTGAACGGACCCAAATGACCATTTGCAGTACAACATAAAAATGAAATGCCACTTTTGTGTCTGACTACCACCGTCCTATGAAACCCCCAAACTGTTTTTTTAGGTGATATTGAAATCCATCCTTTAAAAAATGTTCTGAAGCATGATTCCCCATTGTTTCTGCGGAAGGTGGCAATTTCACAGGTAACGGGCAATGGACCTGGACAAAAACAAGTCAGGTACAGATCTCTATAATCTAGAACTTTCATATTTCCACCATCAGACTCATAACATGCAAGTTAACCCCAGAGTGAAATCCTGTGATTTAGATGCGCTAAGAAAATCAGTCTGCAGGATTCTCTACAAAGACATGTAACCAGCCTGCCTTGCAATTAGGCCCTTGGATGATGACCTGTGATGAATAGCAACAGCAAATAGATACACGTGTTATGCATAAGCTCTCTCTTGGCAAAGGATAGAGGAGGAGAGTTCACAAGTATCTATGACAAACAACAGGAGAATGAGAAAGCCACATTCCCCTTGTTGACAAAGTTACTATGCCTCATATTGCAACTGAAACAGAAACCACAATGGAAAAACCTGAAGACAATATCAAGTTACTGCATTTTAATTTTGAGCATCATTTTGGCATAAGCTGTAGATAGTTTCTCCAAAGACAATTTCACCTATTCTAGCAAAACGTATTACAACATTTACTATTAGGAAGCATAAACACAATTCATAACAATAATTTTGTTGCATTATTTTTTATAAATTTGGTGGAAAGTGCTTGGAAAAAAGGGAATAAAATATTTACCGATTCCATAGCTGAAAGTAGCAGTTAGCAGGACACAGATAAAATCCAACAAAGAGGTGTCCCCAAAGAAACTCTGTATTCTGAAAGACAAAAATTAGTTTGCATAAATACTCACTATTCGGCCTTCACATGAAATATTCACAGTATAGCCTTCAGTGCATGTTAGAATTACACATAATAAAACCTATCTCCATGGTGCTTTGATTCTACATTAGTTCATCATTAGGGCTGGTTCAAACACACATAAAAGACTTTGAAGGGATGGCACAAATGTAATTTCATAAATAAACTACATTAAAAATATGTTTCTGGAACTGTGCCTGTCCACAGATTCATCACATCATGGCCAGGCATTCTTCCTCCATGCTTCCTCCTTCCCTCCCTCCCAAATTATCTTGAGGATTCAGATTCATGCACAGCTAAGGAATGATGTAAACAAAATGTGACAAAAACCTGTTGGAAATCCACAGTAAAATGAAGAGGAAAGGCATGCTTTGTGGCATTAAAGGCCTTTTAAAAGAAACCTTAGCCATTTAACTCACAATAAGCTACTGATCAAAATAACTTGGGATTCACAAAATTATATAACTTGTTTACTAACCATCCTTCCTTTCCACAATAAAAAGATGAATATTATTCAAGACAGAGTAATAAAAAGAATCACAGAATGAAAACAGTAACATAGAATGAAAAGAAAACAATAGCATTTCAAAATGCAAATCATTTATTTATCATTCAGATTCAAATAGACACGCAGAATCAATACTGCTCCAGAAACATAGATAGTGCTGATCAACAGAACTGCCAACCATCTCAGAGCTACTTGTACCAGCAATTTGTAAACATTAGCAGAAACTAATGTTGCCAAATAAAAATAAAGTCTCTCTCTTTTTAAACAATATTCTCATAGTCTGTAAAGGTAACAATAGCATAAGAATATCTGGTCACTGTTATTAGCATTCTAGAACAAGCATGTTGTGACTCATAACTGCGGAAAAACCAGCTGTTTTTAAGTCAAAGAAGCCAACGCTAACCTATAAAAGGAAATGTCTTATGCTTTCAGCTCTCATCAGCTACACATGCAACTATTTCAAATAGAAAAACAAAAAAAATGCAAAGGAAATTAAATATGAGAAATCCAGTGGAGGGGGAACTCCAACACAATCTATTTCTACCACCAAAGCTAGGTAGAACTGGTCCTGTAAGACTTAGGAGCCACACAGAACTATCGTCATGAAAGTGGTGCTTTTGAAAACCAGTGTTATGCTAAGACTCCAGAGACTTCAGATATTCACCAGTAGTTCACAAACATGTGTGTTCTGTGAACTGCATTTTTCAGAAATCCTACCTAGCACAGCCAAGGGGTCAGTGCTTCTGGGAGAAGCAGTCCAAGAACATCCAAGGCCCCAAGCTTGAGAAACTACATGCTAATGAATGACATTTAGGAAATTAGTCTCAACCATGCATCCAACAATCTTAACTAGCATCTCAACATCATTGTGGGATTCAGTGTGCACTTTGTATAATTGTGGTTCCATAAATAAAATTACCTCAGTCAAGACACAAGGGTTATACCACACCTACAAACCAGACTTTCAATTTAACCATGGAAGAGAGCTCTGAAGTACTGACAACCCACTACTTTGTAAAACTACTTTGTTCTGCGTATCTTTTGAATGTGAATTAATTCCACTCCACACTGTTTAAATATAGCATTTTTAAAGAAATTCTCTGAGACGGTGCTTTAAACTTTTAAAATTGTAAGTCACATTGGAAGCCCTTTTTAAAAAAGAAAACAAATAATATAGTAAATAAGTAAATGAATAAAGATAGCAGCCTGGAGGCAGGCAGTGCTTCACGGCCTCTCCCAATTTGAAGAGACCCTTGTCCAGCAGGCCGAGGCAAAGAGGAAGTCACAAAAGCAGCAAAACCAGGGAGCTGGACAGGGGACAGATTGGATTTGTCTTCAATGTGGAAGAGATTGCCACTCTCGAATTGGCCTCTTCAGCCACACTAGACGCTGTTCCAAGTCCTCCATACAGAGCACGACACCATAGTCTTTCAAGACTGAAGGATGCCTAAGCAATGCCTGGATAACTCAATGCCTCTCAATCATTACTGAGTTCTACTAACTTCACAAATGTGAATGCAACAGTAAAAACCATTGTTGAACCAGGAAATGAACCCATGTGCTACAATGCATAAAAAACCAATAGAGACAGCAGGAGGCCAAGCCAAGAACAGAATATTCCATTTGGACAGAACCTCTGACTTGTTTAGAAATGATGAAGCAGATGGTGAGCAATCCCTACTAGTAGTATCCCAGCTTATTAGGCTATAATATTTGCTAAAATTAAGCCATATAATGTTTCCAGAGGTAGAATTTAAGTAAAATGCATACATTATTTGAAATGTTAAGCAAAAAAGAAACATGAACTGTTTATTATTTCATGAGGGTAAGCTGATTTGTCTTGATTTGGAAATTATGTGTCTCCTTTCGTACACCTCTTTATGGCACTACCAAGCATGCTGGAACTAAGAAATAACAAAAACATTACTGCTCTGATCAATGAACTAGTAATAACAGAGGCCCCAGCAATCATTTAAACATAATGGCCTACAGAAACCTCCAAATTTTCAGCTGCAATCAAGACTCTCTTATCACTTAGACCAGTGGTTCCTAACCTTAATTTCCCAGATGTTCTTGGACTTACTGGCCAGCACAGCTAGTGGTGAAAGCTTCTGGGAGTTTGTCCAACCCAAGGCTGGGAACCACTTACCTAGAAAATAATGTGTGGCCCCTGAAAGTCACCATCACAACTGTGAAGCACAGGGACATATGTGGGGGGGGGGAGGGAATAGAGAGGAGAATCTAGGAAAAAGGGCATATTAAGTGATCAGGTGATAAGAGAAACTTCTAGGGCACTGGGTAAAATAAGGAACAGATGGAAAGGAGTGCTGAAATGAAAAGCAAAGGACTGATTAGTTTTCAGGAGAGCACTTTAAAAAAGACAAAGCAAAATGCCTTTCTAATGTTACACTTCTATTTCTGTTAGCTGCCACAGGGATCTTTTGCAATTCTAAACAGAAAGGAGGGTACAGAGAAAGAACAAAGCAGGTAAAATGATACATGTTATTGGGGCCTATTTTTATGAGCAAGACTGTACAAGCTTGCAAACTTTACAGAACCTTTAAGAAGGAAAAGGCAAGGGTCCTTCATTCCTGATTGTTTATTTCTATCTGGCCTTTCATAGAAGAGGGGTTTCCAGGGATTACTTCATGTTGTCCTTGCAGCAGCCAGTTAGACAGACAGCCTACAGGAAGCGTGGGTAAATTATGGCCTTCCAGATATCATGAAGAGTGGACCTCCCAGTATTTTACCCCTTGGCTGTGCTGGCTAAGGCTGATGGCACATGCAGTCTCAGAAAATCTGGAAGGTTGTCTGCCATAGGTAACTGAGAATTTTCAACTTGGTTCTAAACTCAAAACACCACAAAGGCTTAATCTCCTTGCATCTGCATTTTGACAGTGCATGATTGTGTTCAGAAGCAACCATTAGTAAGGTATGTTCTGCAACGTGGGGGTGGAGGGAAGAACCAGTGCAACATTATCTGTCAACAGAAGCACAATCTCCAGTAGATGTCAGATGGGTCAATTACAAAAACATCTAATTGGTCATTACATTTTTTTCTGAAACCAGATTATGTGGTTTCAGACATATTAAGTGCATAAGACTTCCCACAGTCACAACTGGCATGTAAGCAACTTAGGTGCTATATGCTGAGAAGCTAGCCCTGAAGAAGATACCATAATGTCTCACCTTGAAAGCCAATTGCTCTAATCGGACAAAACTGCAAGTGAAAAAGCTTAAATTTGTTTATATCATTGTATACAGATGGCAACCACTGTTACGCTTTACCATGACTACTACCAAGCCCTTACTTGAATGTTGAGCTCAAGTGTCACTTGCAGCAATATATAGCCAGAGCAGTTTGCACCATCATTCCAAAGCGTGAGACGCTGAATTTCTGAAAATCCAAGAAAACACAGCTGAACTACATCTGGAAAGGAAACTGCAGTTCAAACTCAAAGGGTGGCCAGAATGGGCAGAGCCCATTCCAGTGTAGGGCAGCATTCCTCTCTCCCTGCAGCAGGTTCCAAGACCTGCTTCAAAGGGCTGAAAACCATACTGTGTTTTGGTCCTAGAGAAGGGTATAGGGTTGTAGTACAAAATTCAAACACTGGATTTAGGTCTTAATATTAGCAGTAAAATTCTGTTTTCAATCAGGTTGGTGACAATCTTTCTTAAATAGAATCAATGCTTTGACTGCTATTAAGACAAAATTCCATTGAAATCTATTTTTCTTAACCGGATAAGCTCTCTTACTTAAGAAAAATACATGTCCTAGCAACTTGAAACCCTCATGCCACTCCATTTATCTTAGCACAACACTGACAGAAAGCAAGATACTACAAGGTTCACCCAGCTGAGATGTTATTGACTCTTCCAGCCACATTTGCTGAAAAAAAACTATAACTATTTTGGGTTTATAGAATACACTAATGGGAGTCTTTGCTCATATTTCACCTAGAAGCCTAAAACCAGGTCATATATGAAACTGCAAACTGCTTCCCTTATTTTTTTTCCAGATGTAGGAAGGATATTTTGGCATATTATTCATCCAAACTCAGCCTTCCATGATGACTCATATGAGCCTACTCTCTAAATTGCTGGCCAATTTGAGACAAAATTTCAAATGCAGACACTGAAATCAGGAGTGGGGATGAGTGCCACTGAGAATAAAGGGATGGTTCCAGACATCACTGTAGTTAGATTCACTGAAATCAATGTGATATGTTGGATATGACACTGCGATTTTTCCCCATAGGCCCCCGCGGGTGCTTCGGAATAGCCACGGGGGAGGGCTCAGCGCTGCTCCAAGCGGCGGCGGCGGCGGCGGGGTCCGCATGCCTTTCTGGACTCCGGGAATCCGAGCATGGCTGGGAAACCGGGTGCGGCGCGGCTCCAAGCCTGGGAGTCCAGAAAGGCATCTGGATCCCCCCCACCCTGCCCCCGTATAG